TATATATATATATATATATATATATATATATATATATATATATATATATATATATATAAAATATATATATATATATATATATATATATATATATATATATATATATATATATATATATAAACAGATAGATAGATAGGTAGATAAATAGATAGATAGATAGATAGATAGACAGATAGATAGATAGATAGATAGATTGATAGATTGATAAAGAGAGAGAGAGAGAGAGAGAGAGAGAGAGAGAGAGAGAGAGAGAGAGAGTTGTGGCATTATAACTTAGCACATGGATCTGCTTGAAAAACAAGAAATAAACCCCAGAATAGGCAAGGTTAAGAAACCCAGGGAATTAACAAGAAGTTTACAACTCCTCCACACGCACACACGCACACACACTCACACACAGGCAGGGCCAGGAGCTGAGTCTCGGCCCCTGCAATTACAATTAGGTGAGTACAATTAGGTGAGTACACATACACACACACACAGGCACACACTTACAGTGTGGAAACACAAACACTACAACGCCTAACCCATAAAAAAAAATGGTTGCTCAGAGGGGAAGTCGAATTCTCAGGGGATCAGAGGAAGATGGTTCTGGTAAGGAAGAATGGATGGAAGACCAATGTAAAAGGATGAAACAAAACTGGGAGAGCAAACTAGGTGAGTTTTCTGTGAAAAAGAGAAGAGGATGGAGGCAGAGAAGAAGAAATGAGAGTCACAAGCCAAAGTCACAGTAGCCAGGATATGGGCCTTGAATATGAGGTAAATTGGCTGAAGTGAGTCACAGGCCTTGATGAGACAGCATCTGAAGCAGGTACACCCCTTCTGAACGAGGAACACAATGGAAAAGAAGGAGACATAACTTATTCTAAGGCCCTATCAGTCCACCAAGCAGGGCCGAGGAATGAAGGAGAAATGTTGGGAGCTAGGAGAGCAGTAGGGGAGGGGGGCGAAGGTAGGGAGGGAGCTAGGCCCCATGCAGAGACACAACCATGCCACCAGGAGATACAGGAAAATATAAGGGGACAAAGGCCATATACAAACAGGATCCAGAAACAGAGAGGGAAAGGCAATGGGAGGAGGAGAGGGAGAAGTCTGTGTTTATTCATGGGCTTCAAAAGAGCAAGGGGAGGATACACAATGAAAGTCAGCAGGAAGAAAAGCAGGAGATTGAAAACATCATCAAAAAATAGGTGAGGAGGACATGACCGAGATAGTAAATTTTCAGAGAATTTGGGGGTAATTGAAAGGAAGTAATCGGCTGGTCAAACTGATTTTCAAGACAGAAACTGTGAGGATCAGGATCCTGCAATAAAACCACGGCTAAACAAAAGCAGTTTAGTGAGAGGACACAAAAACGAAAGGGGCTAGTAAGAGAGAGAGGAAGAGAGTCAGCAGAGGACAACCAGTGCAGGGCACAGCAACATGCACAAGCACACAGAGAACCACCCCCAGAACCCCATGATCAAACATGCTATCCCAGCACAAACAACAATTCACACTTACAGTCCCCACTCCACACTACACTATAGAATCTCACAGAACACTGCCAGGTCCCCCACCTTCACAGACCCCCAGAATACAGTGTTGTAGAGGAAACTGAAGGTATGGTACACCAATGCTGATGGAATAGTGAATAAGTGGGAGGAGTGGCATGACAGAGTCAAAGAGGCATCACTGGAAATCATAGCCCTAACAGAAACTAAGCTTACAAGAATGATTACAGATGCCATCTTTCCAAAGGGATATCAGATCCTGAGGAAGGACAGAGGGAACAGAGGTGGAGGAGGAGTGATACTACTCATCAAAACCCAATGAGATTTTGATGAGCTGAAGAGAGGAGACAGAGGACAAACAAGAGACTGCATAATAAGAACACTTCAGTGTGGAGGTTCCAAGGTGGTAGTTGACACAGAACAGAAGGATCCCAAGGCAAGAGTATGATGAGGGTAATAGAACGATGGCTGACACACTGGCTGAAGTGGCAAGAAGGGATCATGCGAGTAGGGCAAAGCTGCTGATCATGGGTGACTTCAATCGACTAGGAAATCCTGTAGCAATATGGGGACCCAGAAATGTGGAGTGCTAAAATGATTGAGGTGGTACTGGAAAACCTCATGTACCAACACGTAAGGAACACTACCTCAGAGAAAGGAGAAGATGAAGCAGCAAGACCGGACCTATTATTCACCTTGAGTAGAGTAGATATTGAGGACATCACATATGAAAGACCCCTCGGGGCCAGTGACCACGTGGTTCTGAGCTTCAATTAAACAGTAGAATTACAAGTGGAGAGGGAAGCAGGAAGGGCAGGACGAATGAAGCCAAACTACAAGAGAGGGGACTACACAGGCTTGCAGATTTTTTTACATGGGGTTAAGTGAGACAGAGAACTGGCAAGGAAGTCAGTAAACGAGATGATGGAATATGTGACAGCAATATGCAAAGAAGTTGAGGGAAGGTTTGTACCGACGGGTAACATGAATAACGAGAAAGCCAGGATGAGCCCTAGCTTCACCCAAAGGTGAAGAGAGGCCATAACTATGTGTGCTAGGGAACTGAAGAACTATAGAAGGTAAAGGACCCATGAGAATAAGGAGAGCAGTCACAGAGCCAGAAATGAATATACACAGGAAAGAAGGGAGGCCCAACGACAATACAAAAATGACATAGCAGCAAGAGCCAGCTTTAACCCGAAGCTATTGTACAGCCACATCAGGAGGAAAACAACAGCCAACGACCAGGTAATCAGGCTGAGAAAGGAATGAGGTGAGATCACAAGAAACGACCGTGAAGTATGAGAGAAGCTCAGCATCAAATTCAAAGAAGTGTTCACAGAGAAGAGAGAAGGGACTCCAGAAAGATAGAGGTGGTGGGGAATGCCATCAAGTGTTGGACATAATACAACCGAGGAAGAAGTGAAGAGGCTGCTAAGTGAGCTAGATACCTCAAGGTGATGGGCCAGATAACATCTCTCTATGGGTCCTGAGAGAAGGTGCAGAGACGCGTGTGAACCACTAACAACAATCTTCAGCACATCTATTGAAACAGGGCGATTACCTGAGGTATGGAAGTCAGCAAATGTAGTCCCAATTTTTAAAAAAGCAGATAGACAGAAAGCATTAAACTACAGATCAGTCTCACTGACATGTATAGCACGCAAAGTCATGGAGAAGATTATCGGGATAAGAGTGGTAGAGCACCTGGAAAGGGATGAGCTTATCAGCGACAGTCAGCAAGGTTTCCGGGATGGGAAATCCTGTGTCAGAAACCTACGGGAGTTCTATGACAGGGTGACAGCAGTAAGAGTTCCCCACAAGAGATTGGTGCAAAAGCTGGAGGACCAGACAGGGATAACAGGGAAGTCACTGCAATGGATCAGGAAATGCCTGTCAGGAAGACAACATCGAGTCATGGTACTTGGCGAGGTGTCAGAGTGGGCACCTGTGACAAGCGGGGTTCCATAGGGGTCATTCCTAGGACCGGTGTTGTTTCTGGTATTTGTAAACGACAAGAGGGAAGGAATAGATTTTGAAGTGTCCTTGTTTGCAGATAAGTTGATGAGAAGAATTCAATCGTACGAGGACAAGGCAGAACAACAGAGGAATCTAGACAGGGTGCAGGCCTGGTCCAGCAACTGACTCCTGGAGGTCAACCCCACCAAGTGTGAAGTCATGAAGATTGAGGAAGGGCAAAGAAGACCGCCGACGGAGCACAATCTAGAAGCCCAGAGATTACAAACCTTACTCACGGAAAAAGATCTCAGGGTGAGTATAACGCCGGTCACATCTCCTGAGGCGCACATCAACCAAATAACTGCTGCAGCATATGAGCGACTAGCAAACCTAAGAACGGCATTCAGTCATCTTAATAAGGAATCGTTCAGGACCCTGTACACCGTGTACGTTAGGCCTATATTGGAGTATGCAGCACCAGTTTGGAATCCACTCCTAACGAAGCACATAAGAAAACTAGAGAAAGTGCAAAGGTTTGCAACAAGACTAGTCCAAGAGGTAAGGGGCATGTCCTACGAAGAGAGGTTAAGGGAAATCGACCTGTCGACACTCGAGGAGAAGAGCGATAGCGGGGATTTGATAACGACATTTAAAATACTGAGAGAAATCGACAAGGTAGACACAGACAGGATGTTATAGAGATGGGACACAGCAACAAGGGGTCACAGCTAAAAGCTGACGTCTCATATGAATCATATGGATATTAGGAAGTATTTCTTCAGTCACAGCGTTGTCAGGAAGTGGAACAGTCTGGGAAGCAATGTAGTGGAGGCAGGATCCATACATAGCTTTAACCCTTAAACTGTCCAAACGTAGATCTACGTTTTTTTCAATATTTTAAAGTATGATCTGTTTGGACAGTTTAAGGGTTAAGAAGAGGTATGATAAAGCTCGTGGAGTAGGAAGAGTGACTGAGCAGCTGCCAGTGAAGAGGCGGGGCCAGGAGCTATGACTCGACCCGTACAGCCACAACTAGGTGATACAACAAGGTGAGTATACACACACACACACACACACACACACACACACACACACACACACATACACACACACACACACACACACACACACACACACACACACACACACATACACACACACACACACATATACACACACACATACACACACACATATACACACACACACACACAAATGCACATACACACACACACACACATACACACACACACACACACACACACAAACACACACACACACACACACACACACACACACACACACATACACACACACACACATATACACACACACATACACACACACACATACACACACACACACATACACACACACACACACACACACACACACACACACACACACACACACACACACACACACACACACACACACACACACACACACACACACACACACACGCACACGCACACTCATGCACACACATACACTCACACGAACATGCACGCGCACACTCGCTCTAATTTCAAAACTTTGAGAACTAACCCAAAAATTTTCAACAGCTTCGCCAGACTTAATTAAGTAACTGAAGTAAGCTTGAACATGTGTTATGGGCAAGTTAACTTTCTCACTGACACCTCCTGTGTTAATGTTCTCATAGATGCCTTCACTTGCTTCCGCACCACTTATCTGAAAAATTAAGAATATATGTGAATATACATTAATTTAATCCATATTCACTATTATTATTATTTTTGTTATTATTAATATTATTATTATTATTATTATTATTATTATTATTATTATTATTATTATTATTATTATTATTATTATTATTCGTAGTAGTAGTAGTAGCAGTAGTAGTAGAATTGTCGTTATTATTATTATTATTATTATTATTATTATTATTATTATTATTATTATTATTATTATTATTATTATTATTAACAGCAATAGATTTTTTAAGCAAACCTGCCAACTCCCACATTGGTAAGGTGACACGAAAAGAAGAAACAGTATCATTTGCTCTATCACTCTTTGCCAGAGGAGCGATGATACTGCAGTTCAGATGGCATTCCAAACCAAATATCCCAACCCCTCTTTTAGATAACAATCACGAAACTTCCCACCTCCGGGACTCAGGTCCGGCTAACACGGTTTCCCTAAATTCTTTCATAAATATTAGCTTACAATCTAAGAGCACGTCACGACATAAAATTCACTTGCCTTCTCTTAATTCTATGTTACACAATCGCACACGCTTTATGGATGTCCAATCCTCTGCCATACAAAAACCTCCTTTACCCCCTCCCTCCAACATTAGGGTGACCCCTACTCTGCCTCCTCTCCACTGCAGAGTTATATACCCTCCTATTTTGCGCCATCTTCTCGAAATAATCACCTCAACAATCCCTCTTCAGCTGTCTGAACAATGCGTTTAGTAACCCCGTACCTACCTCCTTCTAATCTCCAAAGTATGAATTCTCTTCATAATATTTACACCACACAGTGCCCTTAGATATGACATCTCCACTGCCTCCAGCCTTCTCCTTGTTATAACATTAATTGCTCATACTTCCATCCATACAAGAGCGTTGCTACCAATGTACTCTCACATATTCCCCTTTTTTTACCTCCATGAATAACGTTCTTTGTCTCCACAGATGCATCAGTGCACCACTCACTTTTTTTCCCACATAACTTTCATTGTTAATTACGTCTTTCATAGACCCACCCGCCAACAATTCCACTCTCATACATATGAACACATTCACTACATTTGTACTCCCTCCTTTCAATCTGATAACCTATCTTTCATTACCTAAATTTATGTTACCCTCATCTCCTTGTTCTTTCCTTTGTTCACTTTTAATTTCCTTCTTTCAATATAGCATTAATAAAAATAATAATAATAATAATAATTAATAATAATAATAATAATAATAATAATAATAATAATAATAATAATAATAATAATAATAATAATAATAAAAATAAAAATAATATTATTATTATTTTAATTTTCAATGCCATTTACTTAAGTATTAAAATATTTGTATTCTACTGAAAAATGAATTACTGTCTTGAATAATCTATTGCTTGGTTACCATATTTAGGCATCTGAAACAGAAGAATGTAGCAAATACTGCAGTAGACGAGAAAATTCCTAGGCCCCAGGAACCGACAGGGCCAGAAAATACCCATGATTGATTTTCACATGTAATGAGGATCTAGTATAGAGTATAAAGGTGTCGAATGCAGCAAATATAGACCACAATTTAACACTAGTCCAGACTTGCATACACACTGTTAATGTTTAATATAACAATAAAACATTAACTGGTTTCAAATAACTCCTGATCTTGCTGAAATATTTTGGAAGGATATTACGAGTTACATGGATATGGAGCAATGTGTCTAGGGAATGACTTCAATGACACTAGATGTATGCACCAGACGCTAACCATTAAGAAACAAGGATGAAAAGTTGCAAGTTAGAAAGGTGTTCCGTCAACAGTCCAACACAAAAAATCAAAGAGTTCCTCTCTCAACAGGCGAAGACAAAGAGTCAAGGAGCTCCTCTCTCAACAGGCGAAGACAAAGAATCAAAGAGTTACTCCCTCAACAGGCGGAGACAAAGAGTCAAGGAGCTCCTCTCTCAACAGGCGAAGACAAAGAATCAAGGAGCTCCTCTCTCAACAGGCGAAGACAAAGAATCAAGGAGCTCCTCTCTCAACAGGCGAAGACAAAGAATCAAGGAGCTCCTCTCTCAACAGGCGAAGACAAAGAATCAAGGAGCTCCTCTCTCAACAGGCGAAGACAAAGAATCAAGGAGCTCCTCTCTCAACAGGCGAAGACAAAGAATCAAGGAGCTCCTCTCTCAACAGGCGAAGACAAAGAGTCAAAGAGTTCCTCCCTCAACAGGCGAAGACAAAGAATCAAAGAGTTCCTCCCTCAACAGGCGAAGACAAAGAATCAAAGAGTTCCTCCCTCAACAGGCGAAGACAAAGAATCAAAGAGTTCCTCCCTCAACAGCGAAGACAAAGAATCAAAGAGTTCCTCCCTCAACAGGCGAAGACAAAGAATCAAGAGCTCCTCTCCAACAGGCGAAGACAAAGAATCAAGGAGCTCCTCTCTCAACAGGCGAAGACAAAGAATCAAGGAGCTCCTCTCTCAGCAGGCGAAGACAAAGAATCAAAGAGTTACTCCCTCAACAGGCGAAGACAAAGAATCAAAGAGTTTCCTCCCTCACAGGCGAAGACAAAGAATCAAAGAGCTCCTCCCTCAACAGGCGAAGACAAAGAATCAAAGAGCTCCTCCCTCAACAGGCGAAGACAAAGAATCAAAGAGCTCCTCCCTCAACAGGCGAAACAAAGAAAATCAAAGAGTTTCCTCCCTCAACAGGCGAAGACAAAGAGTCAAAGAGCTCCTCCCTCAACAGGCGAAGACAAAGAATCAAAGAGTTCCTCCCTCAACAGGCGAAGACACATAATCAAAGAGTTCCTCCCTCAACAGGCGAAGACAAAGAATCAAAGAGCTCCTCCCTCAACAGGCGAAGACAAAGAATCAAAGAGTTTCCTCCCTCAACAGGCGAAGGACACATAATCAAAGAGTTCCTCCCTCAACAGGCGAAGACAAGAATCAAAGAGTTTCCTCCCTCAACAGGCGAAGACAAAGAATCAAAGAGCTCCTCCCTCAACAGGCGAAGACAAAGAATCAAAGAGCTCCTCCCTCAACAGGCGAAGACAAAGAATCAAAGAGTTCCTCCCTCAACAGGCGAAGACAAAGAGTCAAAGAGCTCCTCCCTCAACAGGCGAAGACAAAGAATCAAAGAGTTCCTCCCTCAACAGGCGAAGACACATAATCAAAGAGTTCCTCCCTCAACAGGCGGAGACAAAGAATCAAAGAGCTCCTCCCTCAACAGGCGAAGACACATAATCAAAGAGCTCCTCCCTCAACAGGCGAAGACAAAGAATCAAAGAGTTCCTCCCTCAACAGGCGAAGACAAAGAGTCAAAGAGCTCCTCCCTCAACAGGAGGAGACGAAGAATCAAAGAGTTCCTCTCTCAACAGGCGAAGACAAAGAATCAAAGAGTTCTTCTCTCAAAAGGCGAAGACAAAGAATCAAAGAGTTCTTCCAAGGCAGAAGAACGAAAAGTAATGCTGGCTGGATCAATAGAAAATATGAAGTCAAGCTGAATGCATCAAACAAAGTGCATCACAAACACAAGGAACAAACAGTAAATGAAAATGAAAAAAATCCAAAATAGTTCACCATAAATGCAAAAGCAAGAGGAAAAACCACGTGCTCTGTCGGTGAAACATTAAATTGACAATAATATTTTGTGCTCAGTGACATGTTACACAATCTTCAGATTGTCTCTTCACGGAAGATCCTCAAAACTCTTCTGACATCACCATAATTTGTGACATAATCCTTACTCCGCTTGACACCATGCCAGTGCTGTCAAGCGGAGGTTGACAGCAATGACATGCTGTCAGGTAGGGTTAGGGTTATGTTAGAAATAATGGTGATGTAGAAGAGTTTTGAGATTTTGTCAACGCATTTTGCCCTTGGCCCAGACTAGGAGGGCTCCATATTAATTAAGATTGTAAGAAATCGCTATCAGGGGCCTTAAATATTCTGTGGATAAAAGAGAAACCCCACGATCATTGGAAAACCCCACAATCACTGAAAAACCCACAATCTTTTAAAATCTCTGTAAAGTCCCCACTCCACAAAAATGGAAGTATGACAACATTAAAATAATATAGACCGATTGCTCTGACGACCCACATTATCAAAATCTTTGAAAAGGTTTCAAGGCGCAAGGTTACTTGGATTCATAAAAAAATGCGCAATCCAGGATATCTTGTGTTATGAGCTGATCACAGTACCTGGACCATTACATCATGGTCAAGGATGCACTTGAAAACTAGCAAAATGCAGATGTCGTGAACACAGACTGTGAAAAGCCTATGAAAGAACGACCAAGGTGTGATAGAGCACAAACTACGTGCAGTTGGAATAACTGAAAAAGTGGGAAAATGTACATTAAAGTTCTTAGCAAAGAAAACCAAATGGCACAGTATGTGCGACAATTCCTTTTCGTATTGTCATATTCGATACTGACAGACATTAACCATATCACCATATCCTCCTGTACGGATAATTCAATCTTTTACACGAGTGACATCCACTAAGGCCACAACAATCCTTCAATCTGATACAATCCAAGTTTTCCAGTAAGCTAGAGAACACAATATAATATTCAGTCAGGAAAAGAAATAAGCTACTCGACCTTGGAAAAATCGAGGAAATAAAAACTGCAACAGAGAATAATGTAAAGCAAATTCAAATCACTCAGTTGAACCGAAGTTTAGTGTGAGAAAGTGAGGAGTGATAATGTTAGAAGAACTCATATTCAAAGGACACTGTAGTGTCATTATTACAGTTACGAAGAAATTATAGAACCCTCAAAACAAGAGATACTAAGCCACTGACTATAGTCTCAATAACTTGTTCTCGCTAGGCTGAAATATTTCTATATAGTAAAAGCCTCTTTTATGAAAATGAAAATTGCAGAGCTGGAGAATGTACGAATGTCTGTATATTTTAGGACATACCCGTCTTTAAATCTACATCATTTGCATGGATCCACACTTATGCAAGGGGTTGTAAGAAGGCTC